ATTTGATGATTTTTTAGCACAAAAAATGTCCACCATTTGGCCATTTTTAATAGGATTGTCAAACCAATATGTATCTGTATATCTATGACATGATGTATAATGAATATTTAAAATTTGAACAAAATCCATCAGTGAACAGCCGAGAAATGCTTGATTTTGATGATTTTTTAGCCATTCAGCCATCTTCAATCAGATCGTGAAACAAATTGACGTGCATATGTATAATATCATGTATGATGTATATGTGAAGTTTGATTATGATTGGTCCAGGCATTTCTAAGATACAGGTCCCGACACACGCACACACACGCGCACGGAAGCACAAGGGTCAAAATATAAGTCCCCGACTGTGTCTGAACGGGAACTAATTAAATAAATCTGGCTGCACCAAAAGCTTGGAAACTAGTCTATAATAGTTAGCAGAAGACTGAGTGATCAACGACATCATTTTGGGGCGCAATTGAACTTCAAGTACTTCATTGTGAAACTTACTGCGCGGTGATGCTGACATCTAGTGTGTGTTGACCAAAGTTTGACCCCAAGTCACGCACTAAACTGACGGGTTACCTTAGCAATCTTTTTCTTTCATGCTCCACACGTTGATCTTGTAAAATTGTTAATACTTCTGATGGTGTTGTAATTACGCAAACTTGTATATTTCAAGATCGTTTACTTAGTGCGCTGCTTTTTTCTAATTACGCAAATTTGTTTACAATATTTTACCGGCTCTAAAAATTTCAACATTGTAATATATCGCTTTAATAATAATTACACAAACTCATTTATTTAATATTGAAAACAAATGAAGTTGCATTCGCGAACGACACAAATAGGTATAGATTTGAAGAGTCGTTCAGAATTTAATAATAGTTAATATTTGTTGTATCGCCAAACTGTATCACTAAAACCACCATTTCGACCACTCCTGTGCCGGTGGTCAGTGTTCGGGCTATGGTTGGTGTTTTCAATGAGTCAGCAAGAAGGAAAAAAAAAGACAAAATTGCGGTTGTTTTTAGGTTGGAAAATATCGTAAATTATGATGAAACCATGACGGAAATAGCTTTGTATCGAGAGTTTGCGTACGATCTTGCCTTCGACCGTTTTTCCCACAGACCCTACTCATTTTTGCACAATAAATTCAGATGGTATGTGAACCGTATTGTAATAAATTCTTTGTTTTTTCTTAATATTTGTTTCTTCATTGTAAAAAGCGTCGTTGAAATCCGAGTGAGTAGAGTGACTATGTTGAAATCGACGATAGCTCGTTTTGCATTTTTGTCTTCTCAAAAAGACATAATATTCTCCCCCAAGACTGGCGCTGTGAACGAAAAATGTTACAGTTTTAAACGCACCAAAAAATTATTTTTTCTGAGGTGGTCCTCGAGTATAAGCCCACCCATTATTTTTTCCGATTTTACATGTTCAGGCCCCTGGGCTTATACTCGGAGAAGTACGGTAATTATCCGATCATGGTACTGCACCTGTGCATATTTTGCACAATTCGCGTAATAACCTTATAAGTATACAAGATAGCAAATTTTACCTACCAATGAGGCCATTTTGCATATTATGAAACAAGTTACAAACACAAAGCTGTCAATGATGATGAAATTATATCATGGTAATTAACTAACCTTGCTGTTGTCGTTATCCGTCAAACTTTTTTCTGTTTCTTGTACTAAATCTTTTTCTTCAAAATACAAATGACTTTTGAATTTGATTAAAGCCTGCAAAAAACAAAGCAAAAAACACTAAATCATTTAAATCATGTCAATATAATTTCAAAATTTGTCAACAGCAAATATACCAGTAGTTATTTTTTAACCAAAGTTGCTTTAAAAGTTCCTGTGAATGAATGAATCATGGTCTTTGAGTTTTTGTTTTCTTACACCAACTAAAACTTGAGCTTTGTACATATCACAACTACTGCTGTACCAGTGACTGGGCATATCCAGTGTGCTTTCTAAGCCAGTATTACACGTCACTGGTGTTTATGTTGAAACTTGTTATGACTGGCACTGCAATGATGCAACATATGTACATT